CCACCAACCTCTGCAACTTCTCTTCAGAATCACCCAAGAGCACAGTGTCATCAGCAAAGAGCAACTGTGACAACTCCCACTTTATGTGTGATTCTTTATCTTTTAACTCCACGCCTCTTGCCAAGACCCTCGCATTTACTTCTCTTACAACCCCATCTATAAATATATTAAACAACCATGGTGACATCACACATCCTTGTCTAAGGCCTACTTTTACAGGGAAATAATCTCCCTCTTTCCTACATACTCTAACTTGAGCCTCACTATCCTCGTAAAAACTCTTCACTGCTTTCAGTAACCTACCTCCTACACCATACACCTGCAACATCTGCCACATTGCCCCCCTATCCACCCTGTCATACGCCTTTTCCAAATCCATAAATGCCACAAAAACCTCTTTAGCCTTATCTAAATACTGTTCACTTATATGTTTCACTGTAAACACCTGGTCCACACACCCCCTACCTTTCTTAAAGCCTCCTTGTTCATCTATCCTATTCTCCGTCTTACTCTTAATTCTTTCAATAATAACTCTACCATACACTTTACCAGGTACACTCAACAGACTTATCCCCTATAATTTTTGCACTCTCTTTTGTCCCCTTTGCCTTTATACAAAGGAACTATGCATGCTCTCTGCCAATCCCTAGGTACCTTACCTTCTTCCATACATTTATTAAATAATTGCACCAACCACTCCAAAACTATATCCCCACCTGCTTTTAACATTTCTATCTTTATCCCATCAATCCTGGCTGCCTTACCCCCTTTCATTTTACCTACTGCCTCAGAACTTCCCCACACTCACAACTGGCTCTTCCTCACTCCTACAAGATGTTATTCCTCCTTGCCCTATACACAAAATCACAGCTTCCCTATCTTCATCAACATTTAACAATTCCTCAAAATATTCCCTCCATCTTCCCAATACCTCTAACTCTCCTCTCCTATTTTTAACTGACAAATCCATTTGTTCTCTAGGCTTCCTTAACTTGTTAATCTCACTCCAAAACTTTTTCTTATTTTCAACAAAATTTGTTGATAACATCTCACCCACTTTCTCATTTGCTCTCTTTTTACATTGCTTCACCACTCTCTTAACCTCTCTCTTTTTCTCCATATACTCTTCCCTCCTTGCATCCCTTCTACTTTGTAAAAACTTCTCATATGCTAACTTTTTTTCCCTTTCCTTAATTACTACGTAATTACACAGATATATACTTCTTTTAAAAAGGTTAAAAAAATACTTTCATATAGTTTTAAACATTTTGTTAAGTTGTATGACAACATTGTACTTAGGACACAAAAAAATATTACCAGAGTTTGATTTTTAGAATTTATCTTTACAGTCAAGCAAATATAAGAGTAAAAATAAGTGTTGTTTTTCTAAATAGGATGCTCTATTAAAAAATATAGTTGCACTCTCATGCTTATAAATACAGTGGACCCTCAACCAACGATGGCATCGTCTAACGTTAAATCTGACTAGCGATACATTTTAACGCTAACATTTTGCCTCGACTAACGCTAAAAAAACTCGACTAACGATATTCGGTCTCAGGTACCAATTAATATCATTAGTCGAGGGTCCACTGTACTCAGAAATTCCACACTTTGAATACAGACATGCAAATCTCAAAATTTCAACCTCTACTCTAGGATCCTCCTGAGTATAGACTAATGTACTGACACAAGGTCATGTCACATGAACTGAACTTGAATCTCATATATACACCTACATCCGACTTACGACCTGCTCGACTTACGACCACTCGACTTACGACCGTGTTTTTTATGCCAAATTTCTGGGAAATAAACAACTATTCGTGTCGTACACAGTGTTTATCCTAAACCTTACAGTATAAAATACAGTATTTACAGCATAAAAAGTAAAGTAAAACATGAAATACCAAAATAAAACAATAAAATAAAGTCATTACAAAAATGTTTTGTTGATATTCAGTAGTAAAGTTCGACTTACGACCATTTCGACTTACGACCAGTTTCTTGGAACCGAACTCGGTCGTAAGTCGGATGGTAGGTGTAATTCCCAGTATGTAGCTTGCTCTGTGCATTAATCTGTGCCAAAGTGGATTCCATGGCAGGACTGACACACAGTAAACCCTAATTATTATAATGGACCTCAATATAATGGACTTTTGGAATAACAGACAAGATTCACTAGGTAAATTTTATTTTTGATTCATTTATTTTCAATGTTTACTGTAGTATATGCATAAAGTGTGTGTACAGTGCTATATTAGATAAAGAGTAGAGTACCTTAATGCTCTAGCTAACACTTTTTAACATCATTCTGATTAGATATAATTCTAATTTAACAGTCTGTTATATCGAGGGTTTACTGCATTTGTATTTGTTTCTTGTCTATTTTCAAAGTGCTGTCTTTTTGAATGATGGGCATTATTTGCTAGTGAAGTGGCAGTGCAAGTAAGAATTGCAACTTGGTGATGTTTAAACATGTCAGTATCTCATGTGAGAGGCAAAACTAGCCAACAAGTATAGAAGGCACAGCAGAGCAAAACTTTACTTACAGACTAGGTTTTGCTCTATACAGAGCTTTATCAATGTAATTTTATCTATGCTATACAGCCTCTCCTCACTTAATGACGGAGTTCCATTCCTAAGACCACGTCAGCAAATGAATTCATCGCTAAGTGAGGAGCATACTATAATGGTAGTGGGTTTGTGTCAACCATCTTTGATATTGTTTTAATGTTACCTTCGCACCATTTATAACATTTCTGTAGATTTCTAAATGTTTATACAGCATTGTACTGTATATTGTAATGTTTATACAGCATTGTACTGTATATTGTAATCAACAGAATTAAGGAAATCAGCTCTTATATACATTATTTAGGTATGCATAGTGGTCAGAGAGCCCGTCATAAGTCAGAGTCGTCGGTAAACAAGTACGTCACTAAGTGAGGAGAGGCTGCACACAGTTTCATTCTACTATGTCAGCATCAATTGTATCTATAAGTTTCAGAAAAAGTCAGCATCCCTTGTGTCTCAGAGCTCCAGGACATGTCAACATTCTCCATACATCCAATCCCATAGCCTGAGTAAACTGTCAAAGGAAATGCACCTAAAATCAACTATCGGTCATTTAACAGTAATTTAGGGTCCATATCTACAGAATGGAACAAAGTAGAATGACTTGGAGAACATATACATCTATTGGGGAAGGAAGGAAGGGTAACGGTTGTCCCTGAAAAGGTTGGGGGGAGGGGGTAAAAGAGGTTTTGTAGGCAAGGGGCTTGGACTTCCAGCAAGCATGCATGAGCATGTTAGATAGGAGCGAATGGAGACGAATGGTTTTTGGGACCTGACGAGCTGTTGGAGTGTGAGCAGGGTAATATTTTGTGAAGGGATTCAGGGAAACTGGTTAGCCAGACTCGAGTCCTGGAAATGGGAAGTACAATGCCTACACTTTCAAGGAGAGGGTTAGGATATTGGCAGTTTGGAGGGACCCTGCCTTGGTGGGAAGTGGCCAACGTGTTGAACAATAAAAAACTACTGGTCTGTACTAAATTAAAAAAAATTGTTTTTCTTTTTAGGTTACCCTGCCTTGGTGGGATAGCAGGTTTGTTGAAAAAAAGAAAGAAAAAATCTACTGGTCTACAGCAACCACCCAGGGAGGTATTACCATCCTGCCAAAAAAGTGTGAAACATAAACCTATAATTGCTTTACACAATGGCAGGATTGCTGGTGTCTTTTCTTTCTGTCTCATAAGCTTAGTTCACACTACATATGCATGTACAAGTATATGTATACACGCCCATCCGAGTTTTCTTCTATTTCCTTAATAGTTCTTGTTCTTATTTATTTCCTTTCATCTCCATGGGAAAACGTGAAAGAATCCTTCCTCTGTGAGCTGTGTGTGTCATAAGAGGCGAATAAAATGCTGGGAGCAAGGGGCTAGTAACTCCTTTTCCTGTATAAATTACTTAATGTAAAAAGAAAAACTTTATAATGTGTTTTTTTCTTTTTTGGGTCACCAGAGAAGAGGGTAATAGCTTTTTGCTTACTGAGGAAGGTGCATTTCTAACAAGTCAGTAAATAGAGTGAATGATGGTGAATGTGTTTCTTCTTTCTTGGATCACCCTACCTCAGTGGAAGATGCCAGTGGGTTAAAAAAATATCTACTGGTCTAATCATAAATAGCCTAATACCACTGTTGAATATTGCCACAGTCTGGTTTTAACTAATGATAGTATGTCAGTATTTCCTAATTACCATTTCCATATATTATGACTTTTTTCTTCAAGGTTCTAAGGGGTCAGCTGCCCTTCCCTATGTCTCTCCCAGAGGCTATGGCTCAAATGTGTCAGATTCAGGATATCTCAGCATTTTATGTCTCAGAGCTTCAGGACATATCAGCATCCTTTGTATTACAGTTTCAGGAAATGTTAGCAACACCCTTGTGTCACAGGACTTGAGGTAAAGCATCTCAGGTTATGACTACATTTCTTCTAAACAAAGAATTAGACTTCAACGTTTAAAAAAGTCTCATTTGAGCCTTGCTTTATACTCGTTTCAGTTTGTGATTGAAATCTAATAATGAAGTGAATTCAATAAACAAATGTAATACTAGATAACTTACTGATGTTATTACTGACAAATTAATACTCTAAGGTAAAATAATTATTGTATTCATTAAGCTGTTTACTGCATAAAAATGCAGTCATATACACATTCCCTGTGTAAGTTATTCAGTGCAATACACAAATAACCTGCACATAGAAGGAAGGAGCTTATAACGACATTTTGGTCTGAATTGGACCATTTACAAAGTCTCACAGTGCTCCCTTTTCTTAGTACAGTATTTGACTGGCTCCTCCTCCTTCTTACTTCCTCACTACTACTTCCTTCCACCTCCACTACTACTATCACTACCACTTCCTGCCTACATATACCCTTCCTGCTCTACTTCTCGTTAGTGTGACTTTGTAAATGGTCCAAGTCGAACTGAAACGTTGTCGTAAGCTCCTCACTTCTATGTGCAGGTTATTTGTGTATCATTCCAGTCACGGTATTGTGCCTTTTTTTTTTATTTATTCAATGCAAAATGCAATCATATATTCTCCATAAGTTATTCAACACAAGCTACCATAACACTATTTAGTTAATGAAACTAACAAAATCAATAATTAAATTTTATGAAATTTAATTGCTATAAATTTTATGCCAACTAATGTATCAAAAGGAAGTCAACTTATGGAAATAGGAGATTGTAAGAGCATATAACATTATTACATTAAAGTATTTCTAGTTTTTGGCAGTTCTGCACTTGAGAATATAAATCATAATTTAAAAATGTTCATATTTTCATTACTTGTGTAACTACAGTATGTCTAAAAATGAGTAGACACCAAAAGGAAATCTAAATAAAATTTGCCAATTAAAATTACACACATTGTGAAAACTATACTTGAGAAAAAATCCACAGAAGTGGTAGCAACACTGAGCAGAACCTTAACCTTCAACACTTATTTAAGTTTTAGCTCAAGTATTTGGAAAATATATTTTGCTAGGCTTTTCTCCTTAATGAGCATATTAACTGCAAACAATAACAGTGAATGCTGGAGTCTCTGAAAAAGAGCACAATTGGTATGTATGACAAGTATTCCTTGTGTATTAAGTGTTCTGGAATTTATCAAGAAGATCCAATATTCTGTCTTGCTCTTCTGCCTGACTTTCAGAACTGCTATTATCTCCTAAGTTGCTTGCATACTCTGTTGAAAGACATGATCACTTAAGTCATTGTTTTATGCAGTGATAAAATGTGGGTAGAGTTATACACACAGCTATGTTGCTGGAGTTTTTTCATATAGTATTAGATACTCATAATTATACTATTTTCTTATGACACATACTTGGCATAACAATATTAAACAGAATGAATAATGAATACAATACATACAATTAAGTATAAAAAAAAAACATCATACCTCTCATTATGTTTTTAATAGTCTTGACAGAAGCATTACGGAGGTTAAGAATTTTAAGAACTCTTCTTTTTATGGATGGTGGTCCAGTGGCACACACATCCAGCATGATGTAATCAACCAACTGTAAGGTAAACAAACCCCCATCCAATCGCCTCAAATACAGGTCATCTTCACCTAAATTCTCAGCCTGTAAAAAAAATTAATTACATGTATAATTTTTTTAGTTAAACAACCATCTTCAGCTAAGGTTGGGTGACTAAAAGAAAACACATTCGCCACCATTCATTCAATTGCTGTCATGCCAGAAGTGTGTTTACCTCACAATTCAGATTACCCTCCAACCTGGACCCATTATGTACCTCTGTAATCTTTTGACTACCGCCCACAGGATGGGTATGGGGTGCATAATAAAGATATTAAACTAAACAACCTCCGACTCCTTCAGAGTGCAGGCCTGCCCCCTTCCCACCTCCAGGACTTAAGTCTGGCTAATCAGTTTCAACAAATCCCTTCATAAAAGTTACACTGTAAACACTCCAACATCAGGCCCATTAAAAAACACCTGTCTCTATTTGCTCCTATCTAATACGTTCACACAAGCTTAATTTTTTTTTTTTTTCAACAAGTCAGCCGTCTCCCACCGAGGCAGGGTGACCCAAAAAAGAAAGAAAATCCCCAAAAAGAAAATGCTTTCATCATCATTCAACACTTTCACCACACTCACACTATCACTGTTTTTGCAGAGGTGCTCAGAATACAACAGTTTAGAAGCATATACATATAAAGATACACAACATATCCCTCCAAACTGCCAATATCCCAAACCCCTCCTTTAAAGTGCAGCATTGTACTTTCCATTTCAGGATAAGTTAGGACATTTAAATTCCATTTCCAGAGTAATCAGCTCCGATTTCATGAAACTATAAAATTAAGAATTTAGCACCCAAACAGCACTATAATTTAGAAATGTCCAATCATGCTCATTGCTAGCTGCACCATTTTGCTGGAATCCAAGCCTGCCAACAAAACCTCCTTCCCCTCCCTACCAAACTTGTAGACGACCCTACCTCGCATTACTACCATACAACCATGTCACTATTAAGTAATCAATATCCTCTTCTGTCTTAATATGAATTACAGACATTTATAAGTAAAATGTCAAATTTGGAATAAAAAAAATTCATAGACCAAGACAATTTACAAGTATACCAGCACTAATTCTAAAGCACAATGATATGCTCATTTTTCTAAATACATTTTGTTGGCCAAAACTATACAACAGAATGGACCAAACAGTGCAAGCTACCACAATGTGCCTACTTTAGGCAGTAGATGGCAGTTTGGAGGGCTATGGTGCTTATTACAGTAATCATATAGATCTTTGTATAATAACCTGCAAAAACATGTCAATGAGCAAGTCAATGGGGAAATTGAAAATAGAGAAGTTTTTCATCTTGCATTTCCTTTTCATTTTTTGGTACCTGCTGACTATGCAGCCGATAGTTGATAATTCTAATAGAACATATATTAGGGCCCCCACTTTACAACGTTTTGCTTTATGGCGTTCCACTAATAAAGACATTTCAAATTATGACCAAAGCTCGCTATACAGCTCCCCCTGTCTTTCTAATACGGTCACCGTCACCCACCCAGTTTGTTTACATTCTCCGTGAGCTCCGAGTCTCTCCATTATGTTTAGAAATTTTACAAAATTTCTAGTGTTTTAAAGTTATTTAATATTTTATATATACAGTGGAACCTCAAATATTGAACTTTCTTCATTCCAGATGGCTGTTCGAGTGCTGTTACTGAATGAATTTATTCCCATCAGGAATAATGTAAATTAGATTAGTTCATTTCATTTCAGCACTTACAAAAATACACTTACATAATTGGTTGAGTTGGGAGTAGTTCGACATTTGAGGTTCCAATGTACTCTGATAATTATTATTATCATTATACAGTATTATATACTCTGATAAATATTATATATACTCTGATAATTATTATAATAATAATGATAATAATAATAATCACTCTGAGGTGCACTAAATGTCATATAAAATGTTAATATAGACATTTTGCTTAATCCGTCTATATTTTTTCAAAATTATATAATAAACACGCTACGTAACATATAAACATGATAAATACACCCACAGTAGAATAAATTAACATAAATATGAGATTTTCTTCTTATTCTTTTTAGTAATTATTACAGGAAAAGGGGTTACTAGCCCATTGTTCCTGGCATTTTAGTTGACTTTTACAACACGCATGGCTTACGGAGGAAAGATTCTTATTCCACTTCCCCATGGATATAAACGGAAAAGTAATAAGACCAAGAACTATTAATTCAAAATCAAAGAAAACTCAGATGAGTGTGTATAAATAAACATGTACATGTATGTGTAGTGTGACCTAAGTGTAAGTAGAAGTAGCAAGACATACCTGTAATCTTGCATATTTATGAGACAGACAAAAGACACCAGCAATCCTACCATCATATAAAACAATTACAGGCTTCCGTTTCACACTCACTTGGCAGGACGGTAGTGCCCCCCTGGGTGGTTGCTGTCTACCAATCTATTATTTGGGACCTGATGATCTGTTGGAGTGTGAGCAGGGTAATATTTAGTGAAGGGATTCAGGGAAACCAGTTATTTTTATATAGCCAAACTTGAGTCCTGGAAATGGGAAGTACAATGCCTGCACTCTAAAGGAGGGGTTCGGGATATTAGCAGTTTGGAGGGATATGTTGTGTATCTTTATACGTACTGTGGACCCCCGAGTTTCGGCGGCATCGACTTTTGTGAAATCCGACTTTCGGCAAGTTTTTTCGACAAAGTTTGGCCTCGCGTTTCGTGATTAGACTCGTGATTCGGCGACCGTCCAGTACCCGTCCGCCCGTCACCGCGCACACAAAGCCAGTCTCCCACGCCATTCACACTCAGTGTGCCATTGTTTACTAACACGTGACCATCACCCCGCAGGTTCATACATAATAATCCATTGTTTTTTGTGATTGCAACTGCTAAATAAGTCACCATGGGCCCAAGGAAAGCTAGTGCAAGCCCTTTGGTAAAGAAAGTGAGGAACATGATCGAATTCAAGAAGGAAATCATTGAAAAATATGAGAGTGGAGTGCGTTTTACAGAGCTTGCCAGGATGTATGGCAAACCCCATTCAACCATCACTTCGATCATGGCGAAAGGAAAGGAAATAAAGTGTGCTGTTGTTGCAAAGATTAAGGACATTTGTGCAAAGTGGACTGAAGTGCAAACATTTATGGATGAACTTCACCCTAACAAAGCTCTTGCAGGCCGTATTGGCAACATGTACAATGACAGTGTTGTGTCCCACTTCAGACAAATCTTAAAGAAACGCCAGAAACAGAGCTCTCTGGACAGATATTTTGTGTGACAGGGTTCCAGTGACTCTCAAGTTGTTCCCAGTGCCAGTGTCTTTAAAAAAAAAGAAAAGAAGTAACCCCAGATAAGGACTTCATACCTGAAGTCCTAATGGAAGGAGATTCTCCTTCCAAACAATAGTGCACACCTTCCTCCTCTCCCCTCCTCCTGTCTTCCATCCACCCAGAAGTCTTCAGTAAAGGTAATTGTAATGTTATTATTATTTTTTATATGCATGTACTTGATTTCTCATTGTTTTCAGTATGCAAATCTTTATTTGAAAAAAAATATTTTATTTTGATATTTTTGGGTGTCTGGAACAGATTAATTTTATTTCCATTATTTCTTATGGGGAAAATGGTTTCGCCATTCGGCAATTTCGACTTTCGGCAGGCTCTCTGGAACGGATTAATCACGAAATTCCGGGGTCCACTGTACGCTTCTAAACTGTTGTGTTCTGAGCACCTCTGCAAAAACAGTGATTATGTGTGAGTGAGGTGAAAGTGTTGAATGATGATGAAAGTATTTTCTTTTTGGGGATTTTCTTTCTTTTTGGGTCACCCTGCCTCGGTGGGAGACGGCCGACTTGTAAAAAAAAAAAAAAGAGAGAGAGAGAGAGATTTTTTAAAGCTGTGTTATCGGAGTGTTGGGAAAAAAATAACATTTTTCTCTATTCCAACACCAAAGAAAATGTGTACACAATAGTATTACTGGGGTTAACTGTAGAAAATTATTCCTTCTGTATGCCTTCACTCAGTGTTATTCCTTCTAAAAATGGTGTGTTACATGAGAATGTGGAGACAACTTGTACACAATGTAAAGTGTTTGTATTATGATATAAGCTTTACAAATATGGAAATGAACATGTATCAACCCACCAGACATGTTCATCTATTTGCTTACATACTCTGCGGCTACCTGTCCTCTATCATTTACCCGTTCTATCTCGTTTGCTCACCTCTCACCCTACATTAAGACTACAAATATTTTAAGGTAAGTAATAAGTGGAGCAAGGGGCTAGTAACCTCTTCTCCTGTATAAATTACTAAATTTAACCCTTTGACTGTTTCCGACGTGTAAATACGTCTTACGAGCCAATGTTTCTGACGTATTTATACGCACAAATTCTAGCGGCTTCAAATCAAGCGCCAAAGGCCTGGTAGGCCTACATGAGAGAGAATAGGTCTCAGTGGTCGGTGTGCACCCTGTGAAAAAAATCTGGGACCCAGCGGTGCATTGTGGGAACGCCATGTTGTTAGTCCATTTTCACCATGCCTCTCGGTAAGAAGTTCCTCACTCCTCGGCAGATTGGAGGTCTTTTGTTCCCAAGTGATAGCTCTAACAGCGATGAAAATGTCAGTGACAGTGAATTCCAGGGTTTTGAAGTGAGTGTTACCGGAAAAAGTGCCCAGGATAAAGTAATTAGTGATGAAAACCCAGATGACCCACAACCTTCCACCTCTGGTGCTCGGCCGGCTTGTTCACGTTCACGTTCGCCTGTACCAGGACGAAAGAGGAAACTATTTGCTCGTGTACAACACCCAGATGTTAGCAGTGATAGTGATAGTGATTTCAAGGTCATTGAAAGCAGTTCTAGTGACAGTGAGAGTGAATATTCCCCAGTGAAGCGGCAGTATGTACGACGTAGCATGCGGTCTGGTAGTGTTTCATATGTTGTTCCAAGGGGAAGGAGAAACTCTGGGAGCACATCCCGTGGCCCTACACCACGACCTGATAGTGAAGATGACGATATTGTAACGATGGGTATGAATGATGTGAGTGATGGAGCAGGCAGTGGTGGTGATAGTGAGGGTGGCACGGCCCATGTGGCACCATCAGTGGGCCACGCTACTACCCACGCTGCTGACTCTGCACAACAACCAGCCTCACCCTACCCCACACTCCCACAACCTGCACAACCACAACCACGGTACAATATCCAGACTCCACCAGCAGACCGCATCTGGGATTGGCAGGACGGTGACGAGTTTGTTCCCAGTCCCCATGACTTTGATGAAACACAAAGTGGAATAAAGCCATCTTGTCCACTTGGGAACAATGCCAGTGAACTGGACTGCTTTGAGTTATTCTTCGATGAGCCCCTGACGGACATCATTGTCAGGGAAACAAACACATACTGTGATTACACCATGGCAAATACAATTCTCTCACCAAAATCACGTCTACACAAGTGGAAGGAGACAACTGTGGCAGAGATGTACCTGTTTTTTGCCACAATAATGCTTATGCCACATGTGTATAAGCACACTGTCACCACATACTGGGCAACAGAACACCTGATTTCAACTCCAGGTTTTAGTGACATTATAGGTGTCAATCGTTTCCTGATACTGTTACGTATGTTACACTTTTCAGACAAAACCAGGCCTGACAGAAGCGACAGGATATATAAGATCAGAAATGTGTTTATGTACCTGAAACAAAAGTGCTGCTTGTATTTTTATCCCTTCAGGAAGCTTGTTATTGATGAGTCCTTGATTTTATTCAAAGGAAGACTCTCATTCAAGCAATATATACCAAGCAAGAGGAAACGCTTTGGTATAAAGCTATTTGTACTGTGTGATTGCAGAAGTGGTCTAGTTTTGGATATCATTGTGTACACTGGCAGTAATACTTTGAGAGATACCATGAAGTTATTGGGTATCTCTGGTGATGTGGTTCGAACAATGATGGAACCATATCTTGGTAAGGGGCATATGTTATTTACTGATAATTGGTACACAAGCCCCTTACTCAGTGATTTCTTGCGAGTGAACTTGACAGACGTGTGTGGCACAGTGCGTGGTAAACATATGCCAAGGTTCGACGCTGGCACTCGCAGAGGTGAGGTGCAAGCCTTTGCTGCCAATGACATCATGGCATTTGGTGGCATGACAAACGTGATGTCACATTGTTGACATCAGTTCACAGAAACGAAATGGTACCCAGTGGCAGGGACAAAAGAGAGACCAATGAACCCATTCTAAAGCCTGCAGCTGTCATGGACTACAACCTCAATATGCGCTTAGTGGACAAATGTGACATGCAGATTGGGTTTGCAGACTGTGTACGCAAGAGTTATAAGTGGTATATCAAACTTTTTTTCCATCTTGTTGATATCTCTATGCTAAATGCTTATAACATATACAAGTTGAAGACCAGCAAAACACCAAAATATGGTGAACTTTGCCTGTCAGTAATCAGACAAATAATTGCAAAGTACCAAGGAGCAACTCCTGCAATAGACCAGCGCCCACACACGTCATCTCGTTTCAGGCCTGGTGATCACTACCCCATACAACTGCCTCCTACTACTGCCAAGAAAAATGCTCAGAAGAGGTGTTATGTATGTATGCATACCACAAAATGCCCACAAACACGCAGAGACACTCGTTTTATGTGTGAGGAGTGTGAAGTGCCCCTCTGCATATACCCATGTTTCAAAGAGTTCCACAAGCTGCAGCAGTTCTAGGAACGTGTTTAGTGACTGTACATATGTATATATATTATGGAACAATAGTAATAAATATTGTTTTATATTGTTTGTTTGTGTAAACAAAGTGTATACACAAACTAATAGTGATAAAGTTTGTTGTGTTATTGCGTTGTAAACAATGAGCGTATATTTGAAGAATGCACCTTACATTGGTCTCACAGGCCACATAAGTTACCTGGAACAGAAAAATATTGAAAAATGCAAGAAACCTTTGAATTAGAGTAAATAAAAGAATACCGGGTGGGCGGCAGTCGCCGCTGTTGCCGTACGCACATCAATTTCTGCAAACTTTGTGGCTCTATATCTCGGTAAGTACTGATGGCAAAAATTTTTTTTTAGGCTTAAAACACTCACAAAAATATTCCTAACATTTTCATACGATTTTTTTTTTCGAATATTTGGCGACATAGAATGACAGTTTCAAAGAGGGGCCTGAAACAGTCAAAGGGTTAAAAAGAGAAACTTTTGTTTTTCTTTTTGGGCCACCCTGCCTTGGTGGGATATGGCCGGTTTGTTGAAAAAAAAAGAAAAAAAAAAAGAAAAAAAAGTAATAAGTGTACTGTATATGCACTTTATTGCTCTAGGGCACTTTAAATGCCTAGTATATTATGTGTGGGTGGGGTGGCCAGATGGGCTACCATACCTATCACACCTGACTTTCTACAAATAAATACTATTCACCTTGCACCTTATGTACATGTAATAAGACCATTAAGACTACAAATATTTTAAGGTAATCAATGAGTGCACACTATATATTCATTTTATCGCTCTAAGGCGCTTAAAATGTCGTAGTGTGGGTGGGGTGGGGTGGAGTGGCTGACTACCATACCTACTATGCCTGACTTCTTACAATAAACACTACTCACTTCTCACCCTACATTAAGGCCACAAATATTTTGAGGTACGTAATGAGTGTACTGTGTGTGTATTTTACTTTTTATTGTTTTTAATGCCTAGTTCTATTTCTAACTTAATATATGTTAGTGTAAACTTATTATCTGACATTTATAAGTGGAAACAAACGGCATCTGCTTTCCGGCAATGTCCGCTTTCTGGCGGTAGCCTGGAACTTAACTTGCCATATGAGTGGGGCCCTAATGTAATACAGTATGTAATGTAAAGTGAACATTCAGGCCTTCTAGTAAATGACCATATCAGACACTGTCTATTACTGCATGATTAAAAATATATGCAATAATGAAAAAACACTTTCAACACCCTTTCTCTAATTCTATTATCAAATGAAGTATTTACAAAAACTAATAAACCTCTCCCAACACCATGTACCTTCACTTTCAGCTCATGATACTGTTAATATTTTCAAAAGCTCTTCCTATCCATAACGAATAACAGCAAATATTCTCCCAGATACTGTACAACATTCAAACTATCTTATGGAAGTTACCTTAACTGCTTATATATATACTCTTGAGTTCTCCACATGAGAAATAGGTATGACAGGTCACTTTGTTAAGGTCCCTCAGCTATAATGTGGAAAAACAGTAAACTGAGAGACAACCACTGTCCTTTTACACTGACTATATTGTTGTAATGAATGTAGGCAGGTTGGCCCACTGCCATACACCACCAGAGAATGTACTATTTGTAAATAGATGCAGGCTGGCTATCCAACTGCCATACACAGTACAGAGCCAGTATTGTGTGGAAGTGGCTGTAGACCACTTGGCCCACTGTTATAAACCATTACAGAGCCTGTATTGTGTGCAAGTGGATATAGATTGGTGGGACCACTGTTGTACACAACTACAGAGCCTGCATTGTATGTAGGTGGAAGTAAGCTTGTGGGACCACTGCCATACACCATTGAAGAATCTACATTGTATGCAGACTCCTGTAGTAGATGCATGTAAGTATATTGGGTGTGGTAGTATTTTGGCAGAGTAATTATGCATTATGTAGCACACAGATGTCTGCAGTTTTAATCTAACACTAAAGACATCTCTGCTATCATTCGAATTGTGAAAAGCCTTAGAAGAATGCCATGGGTTGTCAACTGATTATATTCTACTGGCCTCTATTAATTCCTTAACCTAACTCAAAACTCTTCCCCAAACTGATGGATTCCAAGGTGTTAAGGTAAACTCTCTCTCTTAGGACTTACAAAAAAGCAAGTGTATTTTGTTAACAGGTGCTCAGGTGCTCAGTGCCTGTTGATCACACTGATTTAGATGCTTGATATACATGTACACAGTATCCATCATTTTGGTAGATAGGTACCTACAGTGTCCAGTATACCAACTTTCATTTTAAAATGGTACACAGAGCAAATACTCTCAAGTTACTGCTTGTCACAATATCTTCCTAAGAAGAGATTTGTGCTTTAACGTAAAGTATAATGACAACATGCTCACACACACAAAACAGTATGACTACTTTACCTTGGCTTGTTCTTCAAGTGCATAGTTGGTAGCTAGTACTTTCTCTAAGTACTTAAAGTGTAGCTCCAATAGCCTGTCAACTTTCTCGTGATCATTCTCGGTGAATTTGTTGATAAGTCGTGTCCGCTGGTTGGGACGGCAGTTACGCAGGAGGGACATGATGATGGAGACTACATGCTCCTCATGCTAAATTGTGTGGTATAGTTGTAGTTGACAACAGACTTAAATTAACAGTCCAGGAGCCAGGAAGGTATCCATACAATCCCCATAGGATACCCCACTACTGTTACAACTTTTATGATATACAGTACTGAATTTTACTGAAGATGTTCACACTTATCCTAGGGTCTGTTAAAATGAGAAATGGCCAATTCTAATCTGTTCATTGGACATGACAAATGTTAGCCAGTTTTCACCATTCAAAGTAAATAAACTGTTCAGTGCTTCTAATGAATAATAAATAATGTAAATATACATAAAGTTAATTTGTTCCTGTAAGGAGAGTAGAAGTTCCCTCCAATGCTGAACTATCTTTCACTCTCTACTGAAGAGGAATAATCTTCAAGACTTTGAAACTGAACACCTCTCATGGCAGAGGAATTGACCACCTCAAAACAACTACTTCATGGTTGATGGGATTATCATATCTTTACATCTCCACTATTTCCATATTTAGCCATCTCTGTATTTGAAGACACAGGAAATCTTCAGCAGAATATAAATAAAGTCTTCCAATATGATGTTCAATGAGGACAGGTTTCAGGTGCTTTGCTATGGAAGAATGGAGGAAACAATGACTAAATCAAAATACAAGACAAACTCAAATCATTTAATAGAGTGAAAGTTCCATGTGTGAGACTTGGGAGTTATGATGTCAGAACTCACATTCAAGGATCACAACAATGTTGCTATTGTTACCACACGGAAAATGATAGGATGGGTAATTAGAACTTTCAAGATAAGAGATGCTGAGCTAATAATGATGCTCTTCAAGTCACTTGTTCTCTTCAGCCTACAATACTGCAGTATACTAATGGAACCCATTCAAGGCAAGCGAGACTGCTGAGCTGGAAAATGTACAGAGAACTTTCACTACCTGTATACATTAAATCAAGCATTAAAACTACTGGGAATGTTTAAAGTTCCTTCAACTTTATTCCTTGAAATGTAGGTGAGAAAGGTACATCATTATCTAAACCTGGAAAATCTTGGAGGAACTGGTCCCTAACCTACACACTGAAATCACTCAATATGAAGACAAGACACTTGGTAAATGGTGAAGAGTACTTCTAATAAAAAGAAGTAGCACAATGAGCACACTAAGAGAAACTCAAAGAGTGTCAGAGGTCCCTGATTTTTCAATGCTCTCCCATTGTAAGAGGAATTACTAACAAACCTCTAATTATCTTCAAGAGGAAATTTGACAAATTCCTCAAATTAGTTTCTGACCAGCTGAGATGTGGTTTGTACGTTAGACTGAGTACAACCACCAGTAACAGCCTGGTTGACCATGCCTTGATCCTCCAGAGGCCTGATCTTAGACGACAAGGCAGTGGGGGCACTGACACATGAAAACATCCTGAAGAAGCATGCTCCTGCCATTCTTTTTCCCTCCTGCCCTCATTTAATGACCCAAGGGTAGTGTGAACAAATATATCAAATGGAAACATCTTGATCATATACCAAAAGGCTAGGAAAATATAATGGTAGAGGAGCCTGAGAAAGTGCAAGGTCATCTTTCTGGGCTCCTGGTACAAGGAAGCAGATGATCTTCAAAATTTCAGTGACAAGAACTAAAAATGATCATCATCCTAATATTGTTACAGTACATGAAAATCATATTAGCCAAAAAGAAAAATGAACACATATAATTTTATTATGCTTGAGGAAAAGCAAGGATTGTTTAATGTGTCAGAAATGTATTAACATAAAATAGCAAGAAAGTCACATTAATAAATACGACTTTACATGTGTAAGATAAAAGTTTAAGCAATGATGTATGTACTAAGTAAATTCTGAAGGTTAAATCTTGAACCAGCAAATGTGTCATCACAGCTATTTGATCTACACAGAATAATGAGGTTACAAAAGATGGTATGCTATTGTCATGCAACTGATTAAATGGTAAATAGTATGGTAAAATACATACAGTAACACACAAAATTAAAAGGCAAATGGTAAAACTTTAATATAATGAGTAAACAATATCAAAGAATAACAAATGATAAAAAAGGCTCAAGGATCAATATCTGAAAGTACAGATACCATATGCTTGTGAGAAATTGGAATGATGAATAATTAGGATACACACAGATATTAAAAAACAATAATAAAACTACTGTAAACAGCATTGAACTCATATTCAGGATAGTAAGCAACAGACACCTTATAAAAATGTTATTTGATTTTACATGACAGCAGCAAGGTAAGTCTGCAGTAAGAGTGTGGGTTTAAAAAAAATCATATTGCATCTCTATAGTTATCTCATATGAATATTATTTCCTGTAATTTTGTAACAGAATGCTGATTTGATGCAAGGTTCGGAGGTGTGAGCTGTATAATTAAGTTATCCTTTGACAGCTGGGAGGGAACCCTAGAGACAAGTACTCTGCAACCCTGATAGCTAAATGATCAGTAACTTTTTTTATTTTTATTCTCAACATGGTTAAAGATACATATTAGGAAAAAAAAATTTCAATTGGTGTTCCACTTACATTTCTTGATGAACAAAATAAGAATTGTCAAACCTGATCTTTATTGAGTCCTTTTTTCCCATGCTTGCCTGGAGTCTTCATGAATAGTGGAAATATGGTTCGCAAGCCCAGGATCTCTACAAATTTGTTGCAGTTGTCAGCACCTTCTGAACCTGTGAGCGCATGATCCAAAACCCGTAATGCTCCGTTACGTGACAGTTTTTTCTCTCTTGGGAATGAAAATATGAAAGAAAAAATTTACAATAAATAGTTTACATCAATTTAAAGATCTGAAAATATTTCCTCTTTGAATATGAAACTTTCAATTTTAAGAAATTCAATTTTCAGTTTTAAGAAATTCTGCCTAAAACATATGGATATGTTTTAATCAAATATTATAAAAATTTCATTACCATGCTACTGGTCTTTGCAAGGATGATACAATATACATGCATTTTGTATGCAATAAGTATCATGCCAAGCAAATTATGTTTTTTGGGGATATTTACCGATTCATTATTACAATATTACATCTGCTTGTAACCCTGACATAGGAAAGTATTACGGTACTGTTTATGATCACACAAATAATAACATGCTATTTACCGGTATTACACTAAAGTTTATACAGGTAGGTTTGTGTAGAGTTGCAGAATGTAACACTAAGGCATACACTATAATTAAGATTAGTTTTGCATAAAAATGAGGATAAATAATACAGCATATAAATAATGTGAGATACTCATTCTGTATTTGTAATGTTCCTTAATTATAGCTGTATAGCCCTTGTGGCTTAGCGCTTCTTTTTGATTATAATAATAATAATAATCCTTACTTATAACAAACAGTGCAATTTTCTGGCTTACTGGATCAATGTATAGAACAACTTTTATTTTTAAAAATAGGTTTTCCATTCACAATTGCTGAGGGAATTAAATTACCAAAATATTTTTTTTTTTTAACATTCCAGCTGCCTCCCACTGAGGTAGGATGGGACAACAAATAAGAAAATACTTTTATTGTCATTCATTCAATTACTCTCTTGCCAGAAGGGCACTGGCATCACACTTCTGTTGACCCTCTAAACCACAACATCTCTGCCCATTCCTCCAGTGCAGGCACTGAACTTCTCACCTCCAGGACTCAAGTCCAGCTAAATGGTTTCTCCTGAATCCCTTCATAAATGTTACCTTGCTCACATTCCAACAGCATATCAAATCATAAAAACCACTTGCCTCCACTCACTCCCCTCTAACACACTCATTGCTTAAGACTAACCTGAGCATAAGGTTCATTAACTGTAGACCTTCACCACGCAAGAAGAGGTCACGGTTGCTCACAAGCATTAAACATGAACAGAGAGTATTAAAGAGATTCTCCATCATCTCCTGCTCTTCACTAGTAGAAGGGTCATGTCTCTTGTACACCTGAGGAGTAAGATATTACAGTATATTACAAATAATAATAAGAAAACACACTTCTCTTAACATTTCATTATTACATGTGTCATTATTTTTAACACATTGGCCATTTCCCACAAAAGTAGGGTGGCCCAGATGAAACATTCATTATCACTAATTCCTAAGCTGTGCACAGACATCACAAAGGAAGAATATTGCCGCCATATTTAAGAAACTACAGCCACTGTCCCCTTGTAGGCTGTGTTCATGATGGTAGTAGGTTGGTAGACAGCAACCATTCGGGGAGGTATTACCGTCCTACCAAGTGAGTGTAAAAAGGAAGCCTGTATTTGTTTTACATGATAGGATTGCTGGTGTCTTTTTTCTGCCTCATAAACATGCAAGATTTCAGGTATGTCTTGCTACTTCTACTTACACTTAGGTCACACTACACATACATGTCTGTCTTTCTTTCAAAACACCGGCCGTATCCCACCGAGGTGGGGTGGCCCAAAAGGAAAAACAAAAGTAAAACAAAAATTTTTCCTTTTACATTTAGTAATATATACAGGAGAAGGGGTTACTAGCCCCTTGCTCCTGGCATTTTAGTCGCCTCTTACAACATGCATGGCTTACGGAGGAAGAATTCTGTTCCACTTCCCCATAGAGGTAAGAGAAAATAAACAAGAACAAGAACTAGAAAGAAAATAGAAGAAAACCCAGAGGGGTGTGTATATATATGCTTGTACATGTATGTGTAGTGTGACCTAAGTGTAAGTAGAAGTAGCAAGATGTACCTGAAATCTTGCATGTGTATGAGACAGAAAAATAAAGACACCAGCAATCCTACCATCGTGTAAAACAATTACAGGCTTCCGTTTTACACTCACTTGGCAGGACGGTAGTACCTCCCTGGGCGTTTGCTGTCTACCAACCTACTACCTAGACACATACATGTACAAGCATATATATACACACCCCACTGGGTTTTCTTTTATTTTCTTTCTAGTTCTTGTTCTTGTTTATTTCCTCTGACCTCGATGGGGAAGTGGAACAGAATTCTTCTGCCGTAAGCCATGCGTGTTGTAAGAGGCGACTAAAATGCCAGGAGCAAGGGGCTAGTAACCCCTTCTCCTGTATAAATTACTAAATTTAAAAAGAGAAACTTTTGTTTTTCTTCTTGGGCCACCCTACCTTGGTGGGATATGGCCGGTTTGCTGAAAAAAAAAAAAAAAGTTCTTGTTCTTATTGCTTTTCCTTTCACATCCACGGGGAAGTGGAATAAGAATCTTTCCTCCGTAAGCCATGCATGTTGTAAAAGTCAACTAAAATGCCAGGAACAATGGGCTAGTAACCCCTTTTCTCGTACTGGTTACTAAACAGAAAAAGAGGAAAACCGTCAAAGTGGGATGTCTATATGAGCGTGGATGTTGTGCAAATGAAAAAAACAGATGATTGTGGATGTTATGTATGAGAAGAAGCTGGATGTCTTGGCTTTAAATGAAACAAAGCTGAAGGGGGTAGGAGAGTTTCAGTGGGGAGAAATAAATAGGATTAGGTCAGGGGTTTCAAATAAAGGTAGAGTTAAAGAAAGAGTGGCAATAATGTTGAAGGATAAGTTATGGCATGTAAAGAGGGAATATAAATGTATAAATGCAAGGATTATGTGGCGTAAAATAAGAGTTGGGTGTGAAAAGTGGGTCATAGTAAGTGTTTATGCACCTGGAGAAGAGAGAAGTGTAGAGAAGAGAGAGATTTTGGGAAATGTTGAGTGAGTGTGTGGGGAGTTTTGAACCAAGTGAGAGAGTACTTGTGGTTGGGGGTCTCAATGCTAAAGTGGGTAAAAATGTTGTGGATGGAGTAGTATGTAAATTTGGGGTGCCAGGGGTAAATAAAAATGGGGAGACTTTAACCCTTTCAGGGTCGAGAGGCCCTCTCCTGAACTTGTTCTCAGGGTCGAAAATTTTTTGTAAAAAAATTATTTTTTCCTTGTGAAATGATAGAGAATCTTTTCCAGATCATAATGACACCAAAAGTATGAGATTTGATGGAAAACTTATGGAATTATGCTCTCGCGAAGTTAGCGGTCACAACGATGTTTACACATCGACAATTTTGCCCACTTTGAGCCATATTTTCGGCCAATTCCAGTGTACTAGTCGACAAAAATCATAATTTTTTTGCTAGAACTCCATTTTTTCTATCGAATGAGTAGAAGAAACCACCCATTTACCAATTTAAACTATCCAATAAAATGGTGAGAAATTGGCAATTTTGCCAATTTCACACAAATTTCAAAAGATGCCAATTTCCAAATAGGGTCCAGAATAAACGAGACAGACATTCCTAGCACTAACATAACATTTTTCTGTTCATTAGTCACTTCCCCAGGCCCCTCTTACATTTCTTTTGCTTTCCACTTTGAATTTTTCTCACAAAAAATAGAAGATTTACTGTTATGCAGACTACTGCATTAGTGTAGAAATGGTATAAATAATATCAGCACACTTGTGAAAGAACATTAGACTTGCCAGTTGACATGTATTGGATGTATGGCATGACTTGTTTACTTTTGAACTTTGGCAAAAATCGAACATTTCTGCTACGTTGAACTCAATTTGAAGGTACTTTTCATTGTGAAACCAATCAAAATCATCTCAATTTCTGTAATATGTACCTAGGATAACCCAAAAAAGTCAGAGTGACTTATTTCCATTGGGATCCTTTTATATTACACTTATATTTACTTTTGAGGCGACTAAAATGCCAGGAGCAAGGGCCTAGTAACCCTTCCTCCTGTATAAATTAGTAAATTTAAAAAGAGAAACTTTTGTTTTTCTTTTTGGGCCACCCTACCTTGGTGGGATATGGCCAGTTTGTTGAAAAAAAAAATTTACTTTTATACTTACACTTTTATATTTATGCTTACTTTGGAGGAGATGTTAGTTTAATTAGTTAGCTTGATGGAGGAGATGCTGGCACAGGCTTAGGGTGGTGGAAGATAGCAGGGGGGCATATGTCCAGTGCCCCTATACACTTTATCGCTGGCTGGCACTATAGCCTTTATCAATACCTGCTGCTTTAGTATCATACATATCGTAGAATCACTGACTCACTGCAGAAGGCACATTCTCCCCTCTCTCTTCCTCCTCCACTTTGGTACTTTGCTATGAATTTTTTCTTTAATTCTATTGTTTCTTTTCTTCTTTACCACAGGGCTGGCACTAGAAACTTTCTTTGGACCCATGGTGGCTTATTTAGCAGTTACAAGCACTAAAAACAATGGAATAATACAAAATATATCACTTGTACACGTGGAATCGTCCTCACTGGTTTATAAACAATGGCACACTAGCTCAGGCTGCGCGGACACGTTCGGGATGAATGTCCTTAACTGAGTTCTTGGGCGTTAGCCGAGCCAATATTTTGATGCAAAAATGTGGCGCTATCGGATTTTGGCGTTAGCCGATGACACTGTTACCCGAGGGTCAACTGTATGTGCATTACTATTTGTTTGCTATCCCTTGTTTTATGCTTTAAAAGCATTCAAGGACCATACTGGCAGATATACTAAGCTCACTCAGGTCATAAACACTCAATTCCACATAAGAATCATCAGTGCAGTTTGCAAATCCTACCAATCGCATATGTGAATATACAGTGGACCCCCGCCTTACGATCAGCTCCCAACTCGAACAATTATGTAAGTGTATTTTTGTAAGTGCTTTTGTACGTGTATTTTTGGGGGTCTGAAATGGACTAATCCAATTTACAATATTCCTTATGGGAACAAATTCGTTCGGTAACGGCACCCGAACAGACTTCTGGAATGAATCAATATCGTAAGTCAGAGGTCCACTGTATATCACATATACAGATGAATAGTTTTTGGGACCAGATGAGCTGCTGAAGTGTGAGCAGGGTAATATTTTGTGAAGGGATTCAGGGGAACAGGTTAGTCGAACTTGAGTCCTGGAGGTGGGAAGTACAATGCCTGCACTTTAACCCCTTGACTGTCGCAACCCCCAACCCTGAGGTGTCTCCTGGTGTTGCAAAGTTTCAAAAAAAAAAAAAATTATTTTTTTCTTATGAAATGATAGAGAATCTTCTCCCGATTGTAATGATACCAAAAAAATTAAATTTGATGGAAAGCTGACGGAATTACGCTCTCGCGAAAATAGCAACCTCAGCGATATTTACAAATCGGCGATTTCGCCCACTTTGAGCCCTATTTTCAGCTAATTTCATTGTTCCAGCTGACCAAACTTATAGCTACTTCTTTAGAACTCCGTTTTTTCTGTCGACTGAGTACAAGAAACTGCCTATTTACCGATTTCAGCTACCCAATAACGTGGTCAGAAATTTGCAATTTGGCCAATTTCATGAAAATTAAAAAATATGACAATTTCAAAATAAGGTCCAGAATGAACAATGCAGACATTCCTGGCTCGAAAATAACATTTTCTTTGTTCATCAGTCACATCTCCAGGCCCCTCTGATATTACTCTTGCTTTCTATTATGAATTTTTATTCAAACAAAAAATTTACTGTTATGCAGACTACGTATTGCAATACTGTAATAATTGTACAAATAATGTCAACCCATTCATGACTGCATATTAGAATGGTTAGTTGGACATTTATTGGACAATGACATCATTTGTTTACTTTTGAACATCGGCAAAAAACAAGCATTTCCCCTACTTTGAGTTCCATTTCCAGGTTCTTTTTATAGTAAAACTAATCAAAATCACCTCTATTTCTATAATATGTTTTCCATTCTATCAAATGAGACCAAGAAAATGAGAATACAACCATAAATACTATACGGAAATAGACCACAAAGTCGGCATTTTAATTAAAAAACGGTCGGAGTTTTTTTTTGTCATTATGCACTGCGTGCTCCAGGATTTTTTTTACACACATCTGAGCAATCTAAACCAGAGCCACACACTGTTTCCTCTGCCACCAACCCCCACATCACAAACCTCACCCCAACAGCTGCCCCCTATGGGCATTCTGACCCC